AGAATTAAAGTTAATTGAGAAAAAATTGAACTCAGTCAAATATTAGTAAGATAATAGGAGTGTATGCATTTTTAATAGTAATAATTACAAATTCTTCAATTTGCATAAAATTGTGTTAACAATGAAGTGAACAGTTTACTCTAAGTGATTATTAAATTTCATTAATGTTTTTAAAAGACATATTTCCTGACTTTTCACTTTGATTTAATATGAGTTTTCTAAACACATTCATGACTTTGATATTATTAAGTATGCCATTGTTGCCACTATTGAGAAACTAGACAGCTTTCATTATGTCATGTACTTTATAATTTTGTTAAAATAAGTGGAAAACAAGTCATTCAGTAAATGAGGAGGATTATTTCTGATGACCATAAAAGAGGACAAAGCAACTAAGCAGCTGGGATATAAAAGTGAAGAATGGAGAGGAATGTGAAAAGTTCAGCTGACTTCAGAAACAGCCAGAGATTCAGATTCTGGAATGATGATACTTCATTGACAGTTGAACAACTGAATGTTGAGAAACAAAACAAACAAAAGACAAAAAAGACTCATATTCATCATGTGATATGAGCAAACCTGATGATTTAAAAGGTGGCAAAGCAATGAACTCCACCCACATTGTATTTTCTAAACCAGTATTCAAATATTTCAAATAAAATAAGGGATCCCATAAAATTTTTTAGCATATGTTCATGTCAGGGTTTATGTATATGCACATGTGTTGATGTGTAGGTAGAATGACTCAGAACAAAGACAAAGAAGAAAAGAAGACATAAGAAAGGGGTGAAACAGAAAATAAGAAAGAGGAAAGGAAAGAAAGATGGCAATCAAGACACTGGTATGTATTGATGTCTTCTGCTTGTTCTGCACATTATCTCATCCAAATTTCTATGGAATTTGAAATACAGTTCTGTTTAAGGCTTGCTGAGGACTTCTCAGTCAATATTTTCCAACATGAGACAAAACAAGCAAAATCTTTGGCACAAACTCAATTGTTTTTATTATTTATATAAGTTGCTTCTTTACCCTACATGCTTCTTTGTTAATTTGTTAAAACAGAGAATTTAATATTTTAATAGTTTAATTTGTAGTGTTTTATATAAATATTTTAAGTAAAGTGTATCTTTTACTTTGTACTTCATTATGATTTTATTAAGTCAAGAACAAGTGTTGTTTGCTTTGACAGAGAACTGGGAAAGGCAGAGAGGTGCTAACACTTGGAGAATTTAAGCATGCCATCTGTTTGGCTGAGGACGCAAATAATCACAAACATTAGGGGCTTTAACACTCCAGGCAAAATTGGATGTGTATTTGTTTTCTTCATGAAGAAATAATGCTTTATTTTTGCTCATACTCTTTGATAATTAGTTCAGTTAATAACATTTTTTCAAAGGAATTAAGTTATTCTGTACAGACAAAGGATGTATAGCTGTAGACTATGAATAAACACAGATAAAGCTAATAAATACTTTCTGGGAAAAGATGACAGTTTCTTCAGCTCTATCTGAAAAAAAAAAGTATCAAAATGATAAAGTGCCAAGTTGAGAGACTTAATTAAGGAAAATTTATACTATTTTAATTGCTTCTGATCCCATATTATTTTTTCATAATTAATTACCTTTGCTTTGGGCAAAATAAAGAGAAATGGAGTAAAAGAAAAATTCTTCAAATTCCAGTTCTGCTATTCACTTGTTACTCTTGTAAATTATATATGGGAGAAGAAAATGAGTTCTTCAGCTACCCTCTGGTTATAAGTTATATATCAGCCACTCATGCTAGTCTTTGACCTGTGATTGTAAATGAACTTATTTAAACCATTTTTAAAGAAGAAGTTGTAAGTTTCCAGACTGTGTCTTATTTATTGGTTATGGAGAGTGGGATTTTTGAAAGACATATTTCAATATAAGACATCAATCTTCCTTACACTAAGCTGATTAGTTTGATAGGAGTATATTTTAAACTTTTATTTTTGATGAAGTAATGATAGAATTACAAAAAAAATTATGAAGATAATTGTTAAGTATCTCTCAAGTCCAAGATTATGTCACAAAATCTACTCTAGTGGATCACAGTTAATATTTTATGTGAGATGAGTTAAAATGTAAGATGAATTATAGATTATAGATCACACAGTTGGTGTGAAAATAGTATAAAACATTCTGTAAATCTAGAAATGTAAGAAGAAATTAACTGATATTAGCCCAAAGATAATAGATAGCTAAAATAAATGCACCATTTCATTGATAATGAATATATCATCAACCGATATTGCTAATTGGAAAATTATTCTCAAACGAAAGTTAAATCAATGTGTTTAATCAACAGTCCTAAAGAACTGCATATTGCTGGGTGTGAAGCAGATGGCTTTCATTCTGCAGGCCTTGCTGCTTTTGCTTGCCAGCTTGCCACCTTTAGTACCAGCAACTGTGATTACCGGGAAAAAAGAAAAAAAAGAAAAGAGAAAAAAAAAAACACAACACAGTAATGGCTCTTACTCTCTTACTCTCTTGCCTCTAGCTTCTCCTTGCCCTTCCTCCCTTCCCTTCCCCCTCTCCCCAGGTGGTCATGGCTGGCCTCTACTCCTCTACCTCTCTGCTCTCTCTCTCCTCTTCCTTATCTCCTGAATAAATCCCCTCCCCTTTGGAAAAAAACAAAACGAAACAGAAAACAGAGTAATGACTCCATGACATGGGCACAGCTGCAGACACACACTTAAAATGTAACCACACAACAAGTATTTTTCATCACTGAATTTTCGACTTTTACATGCAATGTGTTTTAATAATTTCACCTTACTTTCCAAATCCCCAAGATTTATTCTGTTCTTCTCCTCACCCAACTTTATAATCATCTTTATTACTTTTTAAACCTATGAAGTCCAGTTTGTGCTTCCTGTATAATCTTGAATGTGCTCCCTATCATTGGAACATGTTTGATTTACCCTGATCCAAATTCTTAAATTACAAAACCCAAAACTCATTCTTCTCCTCCAGACAGTAATTAATAATAAATAGCACTTCTGAAAGTTAGTCCTATATGCCCATGCCCCTCTCTTAATGGTGAAAGTGTGTCATGTCTAAACTTGGTATGTTCTGTACAAGCTGCCACAACTGCTGTAAATTCATATAGGCAACTATTCAATTATTCTGGTTTATTCAGAGATTATTCGTTCCATGTATTCATTTATTAAACCTAGATTTTACAATCCTACACATCCTTCTTCCACTGTGCCTGTAGAGACTTCAGAGAAGCACCTGGTATGTACATGTCCTATTAAAATTATGTTTCTCAATTCTTTAAGGGCAATGATTAATATGGATAACATATCTGCAGATTTAGTCAATCATTTAAAATGATTATTTATTATAAGAGAAAAAGGAAGAGGTAGAGGGAGAAGAAAGGAGGGAAGAGGAGGAGGAACAAACAGACAGACAGACAGACAGACAGACAGACAGACAGAAGCAGTCAGAGAGAAAAGACACACACACACACACACACACACACAGAGAGAGAGAGAGAGAGAGAGAGAGAGAGAGAGAGAGAGAGAGAACTCAGCTTGTATGTCGATGTTGACAAATTGGCGATTCCTTTCTTTTCTTCTACCATGCTATTAGTAGTAAATGAACAATCATACTTCTTTCTAGCAAGAGTGGTTAACATCTTAGCACTCTCTTGGTCTGATTCATCTTTCACTGTTCTATTTCTAATGTGCCTTTCCATATTGTCCATGCTGTTAGCAGGAGTTTTTGTACTATTGCAGTTTTCACACTTTCTTTAATGGAAAGTTAGCAAGAAGAGTGATGCTGGTAAAGAGGTGTGTCACATACTAAAGGTGGAGGCACAGGAATTACCAATTCTCAGCTGGACAGACCTTCATCTGAGGCTAGAAAGACTCCTCAGTGGTTAAAAACATACATTATGATTTTACAGAGGATCCAAGTTTAGGTCACAGCATGGAGGTCAAGCAACACACAATTGCCTGAGGTCTCAACTCCAAGGGATACAATACCCATTCTATGGCCTCTACAATCACTTCATGTGCTCAGTTATACATAGATATACACACATACATAATTTTATTTTCTAATTATAAAAATATTGATACAAAGCAATGAGAAACAATTGCCATATTTATCTAAGCAAACATATGACATTCTAAATTTATTTTTTTAAATAAAGAATTAAATACTAGTTAAATAATTTTTACCTCAGAATGTAGAATATCATCAATGTTTCATCATCAATATTTCTAAGATATATTTTATTTATACTTGTCTGTCCTGAGGATGCTTCTTCACATGAACATGTAGTATAACCTGCCAGAAGTACTTGTAGGATATTTTAGGCACCAATCCACATTCTGTTCTAGTTACAAGCCAAAATTCATACAGTAAATATTATATGAAACTCAAATCAATCAAACATTAAGTTTTACACTGAAAATATTCTATCAAAATATAATAGAGATGATTAATTTGATACATATTTTGGCTTTGTTTTATGTAATTTATTTAGCTTCTATTAAGAGGAGCAAACTATCATGTATGATGACACTACTTTACTTCATTAGACACCACAGATACAATCAGAGCCGTGGGCTTCAGGTAATTTTTGTTGATGTGAGTAGCTTAATGGTGTATACAGGGAAGTCTCCATGATGTGTGTTCAGATCTAAGGCGACAATGAATTCTTGTGATGAAACAAAAACACGGCAAAAAAAAACACCTAAGTTTTATTACATGTTTGCTTTCAAATTAACTTTTGACCAATATCCTTTAAAAATAATTTTAGTGATGCCATTATCTCCAAACTCCACATTTGGTTTCCCAACCCTCTTGTTATCAAATACAAAAAAATCACTCAATTTAAGGTTCAGTTTTTTTAAGGACATTTGTTGGCATTCTGTTTTTTGTTTTTGTTTTTGTTTTTAATAAAAAGTCAACACTAGCATTATAAGTAGAAGGAGACATAGTCTTAAAAACTTGACCAGTCTTTCTGCTCTTTGACGCTGAGGAGGAAGCATCGCTGAAGGCTCTGATCATCCTGCCATCATGTCCAAGTCAGAGTCTCCCAAGGAGCCGGAACAGCTGCGGAAGCTCTTCATCGGAGGGCTGAGCTTTGAAACAACTGATGAGAGTCTGAGGAGCCATTTTGAGCAATGGGGAACACTAACCGACTGTGTGGTAATGAGAGATCCAAACACCAAGAGATCCAGGGGCTTTGGGTTTGTCACATACGCCACTGTGGAAGAAGTGGATGCTGCCATGAATGCAAGACCACACAAGGTGGATGGAAGAGTCGTGGAACCTAAGAGGGCTGTGTCAAGAGAAGATTCTCAGAGACCAGGTGCCCACTTAACTGTGAAAAAGATCTTTGTTGGTGGTATTAAAGAAGACACTGAAGAACATCACCTACGAGATTATTTTGAGCAGTATGGGAAAATTGAAGTGATAGAAATTATGACTGACAGAGGCAGTGGGAAAAAGAGAGGCTTTGCTTTTGTCACCTTTGATGACCATGACTCTGTGGATAAGATTGTTATTCAGAAATACCATACTGTGAATGGCCACAACTGTGAAGTAAGAAAAGCTCTGTCAAAGCAAGAGATGGCTAGTGCTTCATCCAGCCAGAGAGGTCGAAGTGGTTCTGGAAACTTTGGTGGTGGTCGTGGAGGTGGTTTTGGTGGCAATGACAATTTTGGTCGAGGAGGGAACTTCAGTGGTCGTGGTGGCTTTGGTGGCAGCCGTGGTGGTGGTGGATATGGTGGCAGTGGGGATGGCTATAATGGATTTGGCAATGACGGAAGCAATTTTGGAGGTGGTGGAAGCTACAATGATTTTGGCAATTACAACAATCAGTCTTCAAATTTTGGACCGATGAAGGGAGGGAACTTTGGAGGCAGGAGCTCTGGCCCTTATGGTGGTGGAGGCCAGTACTTTGCTAAACCACAAAACCAAGGTGGCTATGGAGGTTCCAGCAGCAGCAGTAGCTATGGCAGTGGCAGGAGGTTCTAATTATAGCCAGGAAACAAAGCTTAGCAGGAGAGGAGAGCCAGAGAAGTGACAGGGAAGCTACAGGTTACAACAGATTTGTGAACTCAGCCAAGCACAGTGGTGGCAGGGCCTAGCTGCTACAAAGAAGACATGTTTTAGACAATACTCATGTGTGTGGGCAAAAACTCCAGGACTGTATTTGTGACTAATTGTATAACAGGTTATTTTAGTTTCTGTTCTGTGGAAAGTGTAAAGCATTCCAACAAAAGGTTTTACTGTAGACCTATTTCACCCATGCTGTTGATTGCTAAATGTAATAGTCTGATCATGACGCTGAATAAATGTGTCTTTTTTTTTTTTTTAAATGTGCTGTGTAAAGTTAGTCTACTCTTGAAGCCATCTTGGTAATCTTCCCCAACAGTGTGAAGTTAGAATTCCTTCAGGGTGATGCCAAGTTCCATTTGGAATTTATTTATGATTGCTTGGGTGGAGAAGCCATTGTCTTCAAAAACCTTGGTGTTGTTAAACTGCCAGTTACTGTTGTAACTTAACAGTTTCACCATTGAAAGGGTCATCCAAGCAAGGTCACAATTTGGTTATAAAATGGTTGTTGGCACACCCTGTGCAATATCAAAATTGAATAACGGTATCAGATAAAATAACAGATGGGAATGAAGCTTGTGTATCATCCATTATCATGTGTACTCAATAAACGATTTAATTCTCTTGAATGGAAAAAAAAAAAAACTTGACCAGTTACATGAGATCAATTAAGTGTATAATATGAAATTCATCTTAATTTAACTTGAATTTAAAGATACTAGTATTTATAAAATGCAAAGAATTTGATATATATATATATATCAAATATATATATATATATATATATATTACAAAGAAGTATAGCTAGCAAAACAATCATTCTAAAACTTGTATTATATGGAAATCCATGTCACAATGCCAATAGTTAGTGATTAAATACAGTTATATTTCATGTACTTCTATAAATACACTCATCAGGTTTATATAGTAATGTATATGTATGTATATTTCATTCCATGCAATAACTTAGAAAGAAATGTTAATCCATAATTGCAAAATAACTTTGAAACTGAATGGAGACAGAGCTTGAAGACATTGCATGCAGTTTAGATGTCTATGGCTGTGGTAATTAAAGATCATGCCAAAAGCAAGTTGGAGAGAAAAGATTTCATTTTATCTTGCAACTCTCAGGTCACACTCTGTTACTGGGGGGAATCAGGGTTTCAGCTCAAGATAGGAGCCTAGAGGCAGGAACTGAAATAGAAGTCATGGATGAATGATGCTTCCTGGTTCACTCTCGATGGCTTACCTAGACTTCTTTCTTCTCACAGGACCTCCTATCTAGAGGTGTAACAGACAAAGGTGTACTACACTCTCCCATATGTGTTAAACATGTATAAAAAATAAATATATGTATAAAATATTAATAAAGAAAATGTCTCACAGACATTCCTGTAGACCAATCCTATAGAGACATTTTCTATATTCATCTTCTGTTTTTCCAAATGTCTAGGTTGGTGCCCAGATGACAAAATCAACCATAATGCATTGTTACCTTAGTTCATATTGTGTCTATATACATATTAAATGTTTCTTACCCATGAGGGAATTAAAAATAAATGCAGTGTTCAAATAGTGAATACATCTTCCTCAAGACTAAAATAAAATATAATTCACCAATAATAAACAGAACATGTACTTCAAACTGAACGTGTACTTAAGTAGCCATCAGAACCACCAACAAAGACTATAGACTGGGAAGAAATATAATACATAACATGAATATACAAAATTTCTGAAATATACTAGCATAAATAAAAACACAATAATATAAATATGTGGTTGAAAAATATATTTAACATCTTTATGTAGAGAATTAAGATAAAATAAGTTTAGTGAATGAGCCATACCTAGTGATAAGATTCCATGTTTTAAAATTTCTTTTTCTTTACGTGATGTAGGTCTTTCTAGGTGTTTGTACAGACATGTGTCAATATACAGAGCCAAATCTGGGTTTTGCCTCTCCAAGAAATGGAAGTATATGTATTGAATAACTGAATAATAATCAAACTTCAATCTTCCAAAAGAGCAGTAGGTACTCTTAATAACTGAGACATTTTGACCTCTTAGGCACATAAAATTTTTGAATAGTTACTAGTTTGGTTCAGTGTATTTATTGAGATGGTAAAGTTGGCTACCATCAAGTCAGACTGAACCTTAGTTCAATCCCTTGAAGCCACAGGAAGAAAGGAAAGAACTGATTCCCTGATGCTGTCTACTGACCTGCAAACAGAAAGATTGTAGTATATTAAATAAATAAAAAGGAAAATAGAAGTAAATGATTTCCACTTAGTTAAGACATACAGAAATTAAATTCCAGGAAAGAAATAATAATTAATCAATTGAGAGAAAATCTTCAACATAAATTTTATGTAATATATATGTATAAAATATATATCATAGTTTACTGTACATTATGCATGTATATTATGTATGCACATATTTTTACATGTATTATTCTAGTGTTTGGAAAATAAAGATTATTTGAGATTTATTTACTTATTGATGTAATTTATTGTTATATCATATTCTCAAGAAAAGCAACCTGAAATTGTAAAAGGGATTTCATACATTTTGTAGTTTAAAGTAGTACCAATGTAAAAGAAATGGTGGGAAATAACACATGCACACAAAACAGTTATATGTGAAAAATTATAAAACATATCTATCAATGAGAAAGGATAAGGCTGAACTGGAGCAGTGATAGACTTAAATTTAGCTTGATAAATGATGTTTCTATTTCCTTTTTGAAGCATCTTTCCCTTTGAAAGTAAGAGAGTTATGTTACTTGATCTTAAGGTCTAAAGGTAGAAAACAAAGTTTAGTAATCCTGGCCGTTATTAAAATTATATCATAAATTGGATGTTGATTATAGAATGTGGACTTGTCTAAAGGATAAAGATTTAAGTATTCATGTTATTGCCACTTAGCTGTCAAATATTAAACTCCTTAAATATTTACTCTACTAATTTCTCATGCAACATATTTTATATTGTGAGATTAGTTACATTTTGCAATCATTGGAGTCAATTCTCACATTCCACAATGTTGGTCTAAGGGACGGAATTCTGGTTATTGGATTTGGCATCAAGTGTCTTTATACACCTTACATCTTATAGGCACAAGAATGTTCATCATGCCTTGAAATAAGATTTAAATCTCCATTTATAGAAATGATTTGAGAACATTGTCTTGTTTATGTGTGTGTTTTTTGGGGGAGTGCATGCATATATGGATAGGTAACAGATAAGGACTTTCAAATGAATAGTGTGACTGTGTACATGTCCTTATTGATCCTAATTTTCAGTGTAACATATCCTACAGTTATATGAGCAAACAAGTCTCAACTGAGGCATTTCCTAGATCAGATTGGCCTGTGGGGGACTGCATTGGCTGTTAGTCAACATAGTAGAGCCTAACCCACTTGGTGCTGCACTATCCTCAGGAGTTACTCCTGTTCTTTATCTGAAATCTAGCTAAGTGTTAACTTGTGATTGAGTCATCTTCAGCAGTTGGTATCTTTCCAGTTTCACCTTCAAGTTTCTGTTTAAGTTCCTGCCCTGAATATTCTCAGTAGTATACTGTAACCTTACTGTCAAAATAAAACCTGTATTGTGGGATACTAAACAGGGAAGACTGCTCAGACATGGGTAAAAGGCAATACAACCTCTTTGTTTGTCAAGCAGCAACTACACTGGATACTTGGGATCCAAGGGTAGCTCTTAGACTTTCACTTGGTGAGATTTTAAACAAACAAACAAAACAAATAAACAAACAAACACATTTTTTGATTTGCGTACTTCAGTTAATAGGAACACATTAGTCAGAAGCTTAACTACAAAAGACAAAAAATTAGGTTAGTACATTTTGAGACTTTCTAAGAACTATATGGAGGCCTACTAAGGTCTGGGGCCCTGTAAAACTTGTTCTTTTGTCAAAGTTGTCTTTTGTCATGGTATTGACTACTGCATCAAAACTGAACCTATTACAGAAATTGGTACCAGAGAAGTAGGCATGTTGTTATGAAGGCCCAACAATGTAGCTTCTATGGCTTGGACTTCTTTATGGGAGGAACACTGAAGCATTTGTAAATTTGTGCTGGATAACCCATTGTGTGTTCCAACAGGAATTTTGCTTTTTGTGTGGAATTGGACAATGAGAATTCTGAGGAAAATTCAGAAAAAAAGTGTCCTGACTTGTGAAGTTTCAGAATGAATTAAAATCTCTCAAAGCCATTATTAATGTGATATTGTTTTATGAGGAATCTGTTTGAATCTTTTTGTACTATTTGGTTATTATTAATAAAAGTTCTGCATTATTAATGTGAAACCTTATGTTACTTTATTGTTACAATACCAATCTGTTTATTCAGGGTCAGCCCACAAATGCTGTTGTCTAAGAGAGATAATTGTATACCTCAAGTTAACAGACACAGTTGGCAACACGTAAGATTCCCTGAATGACACTCATTCTGAAGAGATAATATATATAGGTTTTTAAAGGGCCATGGAAAATACCTTAGGCTTAGAAATTTGGGATGGGTAGAATCCCTGAGGAGTGCCTAGGTAAAGTTAATAGTGAATGTTCAATCTGATATGTACTATAATTCTCAGGATGTCAGGAATACATGGATTGTTGAATATCTGATAAGGATAGCTATATGTTGGTAGAGAAAAATCTTACCCTGGGAGACAAGGTCTGTGTACTGCAGACAGCAGAACTGGACAGTAGGACCTGTCTAAGCCTGTGGAGTCAGACTGTTGTACAAAGGGTTATTTCAAGAAGCCTGACACAGAGCACAAATTAGATCTAAACTGCTATATTTGAGATTTGGTCCTTCACTATGTCTTGGTTTTCACTATTGAGTTTTAGGACTGAAAATCAGTGTGCTAAAAAATTTCAGCCAAGCATGGACAAACAAATATCACATTGTCTTTCATAGCCTAGAAAATGAATGGGAATCTGCAACTCACAGGGGTGAGGAGGTGAGGGGCATCTCCAGGATGAAATAGAGATCTGGAATAAGAGAGGTGACCAAGAAACAATGGGAATACCTGTAACTTACTACACTGGGAATATGAACCTGAAGATGCCACCTTCTGTAGCCAGGCAGGAACCCCAGTGGAACACTAGGGACACCAACCTACCCACAAAACTTTCAACCCGAAATTTATCCTGACAACAAGAAATGCAAGCACAGGTGATGGAGCAGAGACTAAGGGAATGGCCAACCAATAACTGGACCAACTTGCCACCTAGTCTCATGGTAGGGAATTGATATACAGGATG